ACAGACTTTTGCATAAAGCATAACGCATAAGCATAAGGAAATTGATTGGTCCATTTCCTTATGCATTTGCTTATGCTTATATATAGACCAATCAATTTCCTTATGCTTATGCGTTATGCTTTATGTAAAAGCTTGTGCTCTCGGCTTATATGTCGATGAGACTAATAGCGTTTTCGATTATACAGGATTTGAACGACCCAGGGTTGGTTAATGACGTCATTGCAACCTCTCCACCAATGAAAGACTTGCATTTATAGTAAAATAGTGATTGATCAACCCTGGGTCGTTCAAATCCTGTATAATCGAAAACGCTAAAACTCGAAGAATCGCATAAGCATATGCATAAGCAATTGGATTGGTCCATTTCTCATAAACCAATTTTCTTATGCATATGCGTATGCACTTATGAAAATTTGCCTGAATAGACCCTAAATAGCAAATGCGAATGTGATTGATTTTTACCTTTGAATCCACCAATCACATTCGACTGCAACTTATAGCGTTTTCGATTATACAGGATTTGAACGACCCAAGATTGGTTAATGACATTGAACTATATACCATACTGGAACGAGCACAGGCTACCCCCTCCATTCAACAAAACGGTCAGACAAGGCAGTGACTCGGTACCGGATTTCTCTTTCTATCTCGTCTACTCTCGACTAATAGTAGTTGTGAACACGTGACCAAAACTGTTGGTTAGATAGAGAGATCCGGGTCCGAACAGCTATCTCCATCTGACCGGTCAAGAACAAAGGCGTGCTCGTTCCAGTATGGTATATATTTCAATGGTAAACGCTATTATAGCGTTTTCGAATAAACGGGGTTTGAACGATCTAGGGTTGATCAATCACTATTTTACTATAAATGCAAGTCTTTCATTGGTGGAGAGGTTGCAATGACGTCATTAACCAATCTTGGGTCGTTCAAATCCTGTATAATCGAAAACGCTATTAGTTGCTCAGTGAGCGGTTGTAGTACTAGATGAGCCTCTCAAAGCTTTTTTTCTCTTTCTAAATTTTACGAACGCCATGAGCAGTCTATACTTACTACGTCTGTGTTCACTATTATTGCCGGCTTTGATTCTATAGGTTATGTGATATGACGTACATGAGGAGTTGATATCACATTTATCGTATAAATTAACTGTAAATATTTCTAAAAGAAAATATATTTAATTATTTGTCATAATGACAAATCAACGACCAATTTCTTGTGGATTGGATTTTTGCTGTGCTGTAAATCTACTTGATTGTTTAGCATACGCGACCAATTTGAAGTAAACCATTGATTCATTTTTATTTATCAAGTTTTTAATAATAATTATGCAGATATGCTTGTGATATAATTGCATTATTGCTTACAATTTTAGGTATCATTTTGTGTGCGCTCCTTTGGTTCATCCTTTATTCAAAAGAGAATTTATCTCTGGCCCTGCAAAAAGTCGTGCAGGTCCATTTACTAGACCTGATTTAATTTTAAATAGTTCAGGTATAAATTAGATATAATTCTTTTTAAATAAATAAATTAACTTAGTATATATACATGACATTACTTTCAGATTGGAATAACTTAATAATTGGCAAATTTTCACCATTTATCAATGTGGATTCATCTAATTCAATTATTAGAAAAAATAGCGAAGAAACTTTAAATCAAGAATTAAGCCTAGCTAGTCATTTTGGCTTATCAGGAATAACTTTCAAATTAAAACATGGGACAGACAAAAATATCAATCTTGCAAGAATCATTTCTGATAAAATAACAAATAACAATTGCACTTTTCAGGTAACTATATAATTTTTTCTTATAAAAATAATTTGGAACCAGTATATTTTGGAACAAGCTAGTGTTATTCTATAGATTATAAATAGAAAAAAGTGTTATACTTATTGATAAATAGTCCATATCTTTTTATCTATAGTTGTAGAATGAGAAATACTGTTTAAAATTATTAAAATATTTTTTACGTTACAGGTGTGGGTACAAGTTCCTATGGAAAATCCAATTAGACAAACCTATTCTTATAGAACAGAGGATTGTCTAGTAGAAGAGAATCCATGGGAATGGTGGAATTCGTTTAGAGTAATATGTGATTACAATAAAAAATTAGGAGTTGCGTTAATTGTTAGCCAGGATTTGCCTGAACAGGAAGAGGTAATTTGTGCAAATTTACTTTACAAATTAAAATTTGAATTAAATGCAATATTAATGCAACATATTAATAAACTTATTTTGAATCTTAAACATAAGATTGATAGATGGCTTGGAGAACCAGTGAGATGCTTAATACTCCCGACAACAATATTTTTAACTAATAAAAAAGGATATCCGGTATTAAGTAAAGCACATCAAACCATAGTAAAAAAATTTGCTACATTAGAAGTACAATTTATTTTAACAGGCGTGACACGTTACCAAACTATTGGCTATTATCATAATTATCTTGATTATTTATGGAAGGTAAAACTATATAAAAAAAAATTATAGAAAATTATAAGGAAATATTTTGATAATTTAATAAGTTATACATAGAGAATGACATTTTCATTCTTCAAGGGATGTCAAACTAATGGAACAGTGGAAAGATTCGCTCGAGGTTATGAGGACTATCTGCAATGTCCACTGCAACCTCTAATGGATAATCTCGAATCACAAACTTATGAAATATTCGAGAAGGATCCTGTAAAGTATCGAGAGTATCAAAATGCTATATATGCAGCTATTAAAGCAACTATACCTAAAATGGAGGAAAAGGAAAGAAAAATGTAAGTTAAATAACTACAAATATACAAAAAGGAATATAGCAATTACCAATTTTCAGAATCATTATGGTAGTTGGTGCTGGAAGAGGGCCGCTTGTAAACTCATCTCTAAATGCTGCCAAAATGGCCAACCAGGAAATAAAAGTATATGCAGTGGAGAAGAATCCTAATGCCGTGATAACGTAAAGACTTTAAAATAAAGATTTTACATCCAATTAGATTATATATATATATATATATATATATATATATATATATATGTATGTTATTTCGTCGTATTTATAGCTTGCAGGCTCTTCAGAGAGAAATATGGAAAGACAAAGTTACAGTAGTATCATCTGATATGAGAGACTGGAATCCACCAGAAGAGGCAGATATTATTGTTTCTGAATTACTCGGGTCCTTTGGCGACAATGAACTGTCGCCAGAATGTTTAGATAACGTAATGAAGTTCTTAAAAGGTTTGCATTACATACTATAAGTGTATTAATTTAACTGATGTTAAAATTAACTTTTTTTATTTAAACTTTGTTAGAAGACGGAATTAATATACCGCAATCATATACTTCATATATCGCTCCTATACAGTCTTCTAAACTGTATAATGAAGTGAGACAACTTAGAGATAAAGATAAACATATGTTAGCTCACTTCGAAACTCCGTATGTGGTACATTTTCAAAATAAATATGACATAGCAAACCCAAAACCACTTTTTACATTCAAACATCCGAATACAGGTTTGTATAAATATAAAGTGTTGATCAATTATTTTTATATTTTGTTTTAATCTTTATGCATCTGTCACTGTTTTAGATACCGTCACTGATAATTCGAGATATGAAACAAAAACCTTTTTAGTGGATCAAAACTGCGTATTACATGGATTTTCGGGATATTTTACAACAATTCTATATGAAAATATTACATTGAGCATAGAACCTAGTACATATAGCCCAGATATGTTCAGCTGGTTTCCAATCTTCTTTCCACTTAAGGTAATATATTTATTAAAGTAATTATATGCACATAGGTTTTTTTATACATAGCTACTCGACTATATATGTGTGTGTGTTTGTGTGTGTGTGCGTGTGTGACACTGATCTCTTAGGTCATTGATATGATAGAATTTCATAATCTAAATCATATATAAATCTTGATAAAAAAAATTAAAATGTATATTTTTGTCTATCTTGTATATCTATGTTTATCTTTGTAGGAACCAATACAATTGAAGGCAGGAGATGAAATAAGAGTTCATTTTTGGCGTAGATGTAATTCTAAAAAAGTGTGGTATGAATGGTGCCTCAGTAAGCCCATACCGATTTCAATCCACAATTCAACTGGACGTTCTTCCACTATCGGATTATAACGTGACTAGTTTTATTCTATTCATGTAAGAAATTTTTGACAACACAATGGTGTAATTATCAAATTTAGACTCTATAATTCAATTTTTATAGAAAATATTTTTACTAAAGAACATCTTTAGGCAGCATTACATATAAATGCATTTTTATATTAGTTTTATTTGTGATAAGTAAAGTTGCCTAATGTGACAAAAATCTAGCATTAATGTAAAATCAATTAATAACAATCAATAACAAAAATTTATATAACCTTAATACCATATAAACTAGTATAAATTTTTTTATTCATGATGAATAATGTGAAAAACATTTCTATGACAATTTATTAATTTCTTTATTTGCATTTTGGATTTTCTTTTTTTTTTATTTTATTTTTTTTTTGTTGCTTGAATATATTCAGCAATATCAAGAAAAACGATAAAAAATAATAAAGAAATACATAAGTAAAAGATGTTTGTGTAAAAGATACAATATATATGAATATTTCCTTGAATGCACATAGGTTTTTTATACATAGATACTCGAATATATATATAATTATATATATATATATATATGTGTGTGTGTGTGTGTATGCGTGACACTGATCTCTTAGGTCATTGATATGGTAGAATTTCATAACATACATTACGAGATATTTCAAAGTATACTGATATTATCGCCTTAAACTCACGTGATTGAATGCACGGTTCGGATAACATTGTATAAATGTTCTACATATTGTAACATATTTCATCATTATCCATACAATATAATTTCAAATGTGCATATGTATGTATGTATGTTTAATGTTTATAAATTCTGTTTGATTCAATCTTCAAGGAATTTTTTATTTTTCATATATATGCTTTTGATTTCACAAAAATTATTACAATTTTCTTAAATTATATGTGTACGTATCGCGCGAAACAAAACATGAAGATCTGAAAAAAGAGCATATTGTATTTAATAAAGTATTCTTTTATATTTTTTTAATTCCTATGTAAAGAACCAAATATTCCAATTCCTAAAACACAAATATTTATGCATGTAACAAAAGGCAATTAATAATTAAATAATTACATTTTTGGCTAGATCTATAGAGGTAACAGGGTATAAAGTAAAAACCATTCTCTAAAATAATGTTTCTCGCTGATAATCAAAATATAAAACTAGCTTGATTACATTCCTGAGGCGAGAGATAAGAAAGGGGTGAAAGATAACAACAATACTAGACCCGGGTCGTCAACGTCTTCTCTCGTCGTTCAATCGAAATCGCTTCATTTCACTCGTGTTGCGAGTTGTGTTACGACCGGCAGCGGACCGGTGCTATTCGTGCGAGAATCCAAGTTAAATCGTGGTATACAGAAACAAAAATGGCCCAATTCATCGCACACATTAGCAGGAGCGCGATGAAAACGCTCGTCTCACATGGCAAAAATGATTTACCCAGTAGTGTTGCACAAAACATTCAAATGTTCAGAACATCGAAAACGTTTCTCGTTGCGACACGTTCCATAACCACAACTCGATGCCTGAGAACTGGTAAGTACGTAAGAATTGGAAAACTTGATTATTTTAAAGGACGCGAGTTCGCTACAATGCTCAAAAGAAGTCATTTGTAACACATCCAAAATCGTAATATTCATTAATTTCCATAAAACCATGGTTATGAAATAAGAGTATAATCTTTCAGAACGGTGGTACACTGATAAACACGAATGGATAACAGTGGACGGCAAAGTGGGCACGATTGGTATATCGGATTACGCGCAGGAAGCGCTTGGAGATGTAGTGTATGCGCAGCTTCCCGATGTGGGATCCACAGTTAAGAAAGAAGGTAACTGATACGACATCCTTAATTAATGATTTTGAGAATGTAAGTTTTAAAGATTAATACTAAAAACACAAGTTGGAATGTTTATTCGAAAAAAAAAAATGACCAATACTTCATTATTTTGATTCCGAAATAAATAACATTTTCGAATCTGTATGTCTAATTTTTTTTTCTGATATAAAAATGTGCTAACATGTATTGACTGATACTTCTGGAACACATTTCGTACAACGTTATAATATAAAATTTGTACAATACTGTAATGCAAAATCAAAATTTTTTTGTCATAAAATGAACTGTGATTTTTCAGAGGAATGTGGAGCTTTGGAATCTGTAAAAGCAGCTTCGGAATTAATAAGTCCAGTCAGTGGGAAAGTCGTGGAGAAAAATGAGGTGGTTGAAAATAAACCCAGCTTGATTAATTCATCTTGCTACGAAGAGGGTTGGTTGTTCAAAGTAGAGTTAAGTGATATAGACGAAGTCAAGAATCTAATGAATGAGGAAACTTATAATACATTCTTAAAATCAGATGTGCATTAGATTGGAATATTAGAAAAATGTTATCTAATACAGGTTTGATCCAATGACCAATGATTGCATTTTCCATTTAAGAACATTATTTGAGATTTCAATAATCTTGTACAGTCTAAAAAATAATTACATTCTGTGAAGAGTTTTACATTTTGGTCATTGAGAGCAATCACAACTGTATTTATAGGCATTGTTTCATTCAGTAGTTTTATAGCGGTAGATAACAAATTGATGTTAATTTATGTATAAATATGTGCATCAAGCAGTAACGTTTGATATTTTTCTAGCATGACATATATGATATTATTAAAATGTTAATAATAACATTATATAATTATATAATAATGTTATTAATTAATAAATGTTATATTAGTTCTTATAAAATTAAAATATTTAATACGTCAAAACATCACATGTATGAAATGTAACATAGAAATTTAAAAAAAAATTGAAAAATATTGTTTAGCAAGTCTAACATTGATATTGATTGCGATAATTGCAATATCTTTATTAGTCACTGTGCAATGTTCTTCTCGTATTTATTATACAAAGCAAACGAATACTTGTATATTGCGATATACAAGTTGTTTGATACATGAATAACAGCATTCGAGTTACGAATTATGATAGTTCTTGTTTTTTCTCTTTCCGAGTGCACAAGGGCGTTAAAATTTTGTAATAATTGTACATTCTAACGAGTGACTGAATAAAATACTAGTCTTAATTTGCACAAAATGGCATACTAATTGATCCTATTCCGTTTTTCACTTTCTGAATAGATCATCTTTTGCAATTTCGTTAGTCTAATAATAATCCTGAAGTCGAATGAGGGAAATATAATATCAACCAGTGGGGTTCAACCAGTATGATATATAAAAAAATAGTTAAGCTGTTAGCTATATAGAAAGGAACAGTTATCTGTTAATAATAAAGATATATTTACAATCAATTAATTGTTTTCTACATAATTTACAATTGCCAACTGCTAATGGCAGTGTTAACAACGCATAATAATTTTTTTTTAAACTTTATTCCAACGATTTATTGGATCAAAGAATCACATCGATATTAAATTATAGATCATTTGCCAATCATAATTGGTAACTGTACATATTTAACATAAAAAAATGTACATAACGCTGTAATCGTCGTATTCACTAATTACAATTGTTAATAAACATATTGTAACAGATCGAGTCGTTAATCATAATAGATATGTATATAGGATGAGGCGTTTAGAGTGTAACATATCAGTATCTGATCAGTATCTAAAAGACATTTAATATAAAAATTGTCGGGTTTCAATGAAAATATTTAGTGATTATATTATTTTCGAATAATAATAATAATAACAACAATAATAATAACACTTTTTTTCAATAGTATACAGTTCCTAGCATTCGCACAAAGTTTAAAGCTTCCGAAATTTCATACTTTTATATTAATAAAAGTGTCCTCAAACTTTTATTTTTTATTTCCTTATTTTGTATGCATATTCTCTTCATCAACTTACATTACTATTCGATTAGAAAAATATAGAATTTTCCATCGCTGTAACGTAAAATTTACATTAATGTTAAACACTATATTATTAAATTTACCTCGATCTTAAACTTAATGAGAAAAAAGAATGAGGTTTTATTTTAAGAAATATTTCTGAAATAAAAAAGAAATGTTTTTTTGTTGCCCTAATCAAGTCATAATCATCATGAAATATTTTCTTCAAAATCCTGCAATATTTTTATGTAATATTATCATATATATATATATATATATATATATATATATATATATTTACAGAAAATATTTGTCTCCAGCCTAAAATTCAACCTTAAATGAGATTAATATGTCACATTTTATATGCTTCACCCTATATATCAAATATATACAAAGATAATTGATTTAGAATTATCTTTAGAAGAGTTCTCATTAACATATATGATAGTGTTTGCGATTAATACGACTTGTTCCAAAATTATCAGACCGACACGTTCAGCAGGACGTCTCAGAGAAATGAAAGAAGACGATACAATAAATAAATAGTAGCGCGACTTTTTACCCAAACAGCAATGCATGATTTAAAACGACTTAATTTTTTCGACCGACAGCAGTAACTAATACATGGTAAACGACAGAGTTATGAACTAAAAATTTGCAGAGAAAAATACAATAATAGTAGACACTAAGATCTAATAACGTGGATATACAATGAATACTATACTTTTAATAAGTTGCATTACATCGTAGCTCTTTAACGTGTAATTATACACACTACAGGAATTAAAAATATCTGTTTATGCATGTTACATTCATTCATTCCATTCAAATTGCTATCTGGGCGTCTATTCTGAGGTATGTGGTTACTAAAAATGTAAAAGTATAAAAACTTAATACAGATATGAAGAGGTAGTCATTCGTGTCGTGAGTTAAATAGAAATAATCTTTCTTCCTTTTTTTTTTTTTCAATGGGGCACTGTAGATGAGAACAATGACAAGCCTTAGACTATTTCCGATCATGTTCAATGTGAAGAACTGGACGATTTGAAAATTTGGGAACATTAGCATATTCTATAAAGTCAAACTTGACAGAAGTCGGACACAAATCTTTACTCACGCGATAAGTACATGCGATACCTGCAATAAAATGCTTACGTCCGTGGTAATAATACTCGTTACCGCTCTTCTTGATTTGATTTAACACTCGATTCTTAAATCTACTGTGACATCGAGTTTTGCACTTGTCAACAAGTCGTTTACACCTAGTTAAATGTATCACGAAAAATCGGTGGAAAAAGTGAAAGTAGTAAAATAGCATTTTTTGCAGCAGGTACGTGTTTGATACGTGAATAAAAACAAGAGGAGTCGCAACGAGTATAATTTTACCAGTCTACCAGTGCGAGGAAAGATTTCTGTCTTTATTGTCACGTTTAAGCTTTGCATCTGACACAATATAATTTCCAATGGCTTTGATACCACAGGCGTCGAAGAGACAACCTTCACAGCACTGAAGAATTTCTGACTATTGGCTAAACAATAATAATAGTAATAATTAATAATATTCAATAATCTATTAGTGAAAAATTACTACTTTCGATCGCTACCTTAACATTTACTAAATATTTCTCTATTTAACAACTGTGATACGATTAATGTTATCTTATGTATTTAGAATTAATCGCTAGACAATATAGGACCACATAAACCTTGCTCCAATGATTCTTTTATTTCTTAAACAGAATCTTTATTATGATACAACATACAATAGTAAAATATCGCAATTTGTGTAGTTATTCCTGTCCGCCACCTATTTAAAAAATAATAAGGAGAAATACATGAATAAGATCCTAAAATTAGTGAAGACATTAAGTAGCTAATGATTTTTCCTCAAGTAAGCAACAGAAATATATTTATTTCATTTCATTATTCAACTATACACAAAATATTGTAATTACATGTGTAACATGATACATACTTTACAACATAATTGGAATGTGTTAACTAGTATTTACAATATAGTAGCCCTGCTGTGTGCAAGTGTGGCAAAATGCAGATTCTTTTATAGAAAATTCTATGGATGCCAAGATGGCCGTGCGACAAACACATATGTATATCACATGCAAGTTCACTGTCATTCAAGTATGCCCATTAAATCCCTTGCAGAAGCACAATTGATCTGGAGAGAGACTTCAATTCTCTTTAGCGGTACAATATATTTCGTTCGAGTGAGAGCAAGGCTTCAGTGGTATGCTTAAAAATAAATTCGCCTCTAAGTATTAGAAAAATAGCTTTACTTATTTAGACAAAAGTTGCCTGCCCTTTGACCAATATTTTTTGTTTAACCACCCTTTGTACTGTTTTCAAGGCATCTTGCTTACTGTTTCCCTGCGCTTGTATCCATCAACAGGGGTAATTTTCCACGGATACATCTTTAAAACTTCAACATCAAATATAGAAAATATATGTCATTGTGTTTATATATATTTAGATACACTTTATATTATTTATAATACATATACTATGTGTATATACATATATATATGCATATATATACACATATATGTATATATATATATATATATGTACATATATGTACGCGTCTATATATATATATACTTGATTTGTGTGCATAGGTATTTCTTGAACCAGGGCCCCTTTACTTGGTCCGATACCTTAGCAGCGTTTTAGCTCTTAATAGGTACTTTGAGGTCCACTCTGTCTCACGATTAGGGGCGCTAACAGGACTTTCGAGAGATGTTTTATATATATATATTTATAGCAACGGACTATATTCAATGGCAAAAATTACCAGGAGAAATCGATCGTTTCATTTCCTCTTGGCGTGAAGCATCTCCATGAGAAGTGTTTGCGTTGGTGCACCTCCGCTACAATGCTTCTGATAAAGATGCTCTTCTCCGCTGGTTGCCACCTCGTGAATATCTGGTAATACTGCTACCAGCTTGTTAAATTTATCCTGGACAGACCGAAGAAAGGACAATTTTAAATATTTGCCAGCTACCGATCCCACTTTCGGTGGAAATATTTCGAGGAAGCATTTCGCAATAAAAGGTACCGGTATAGATGGGTAACAAGCCAGCGTGTATTCCATAAGCGTCTGTTGAACCTGGTCGTGACCCTCTTGCACATGCTTCTTGTTTACTAGCCCACGGACATCTGTATCAAATTAAACATATACATTTATGTAGAATAAGCGACGTGTGCATGTCTCATAAGTTGCATTAAACTACATATTATGAAGCGTCGCATCGTGTAAAAAATTTCAGATTGTTGATGCGAAAAGTCTCTACGATGTGACCTTCGCATCGTGTTTAAAAGAGATATAGAATGCGAGAGTGTTTTTGGTTGTGTACTCTGAAACCAAATGAATTGTGCCGCTTTGATTAAATCTGATTGTCTCTCAAAACTTGTCGCTTGCAAGATGAATGTGCGCGGATTACATTTTACTCACCGTGGTTTAGAAGCATTAGGAATTTCATGCATATGTAATCGGAGGCGTCGAACTTTAGTTCCTGAAGCTTCTTGGATAGATCTTTGAAGAGATCGGCCAAGGCAGGAACTCCGAGTAGGCCGAGACAAAGGAGATCAAATTTTTGACCATTATGAAGTGTCGTCTCGTCGGGTAGATTATTGTGTAACCTTTGATGAAGATGGTCCAGTACTAACATATCCGACCAAGAGTGTTGTAGCAGCTTCATTTGATCGTCAACCTAACAAATAACATTTACACAACGTGTAAATGTATTAAATACTTTCTATTGCGAAGAATATACAAAGAAATATAAATGTAATTATGTTTAATGATTCAATATTTGTGGCATAAAAATTATATAGCATGTCTCCTCAAATTTTATATGGCAATAATAAAATATAATAATAGCGATAAAAATAATAAAAGAATATTTTCAGAAGTAGTTGAATTAAAAAACGTGCGATAAAGTTAAAAATTGTAAAATCGAACTTTAAGAAGCATTAATTGTACCATAAATATTCATTTTGCTGGCTTTACAACATTTCTTATTTACATATAATAATTTATAATTTCAAAACATAAAAAAATGCATTTGGATACATAACATGATTTTAATAAGACTACAGTAAAAATCCGATATACGACATAACATATGCTGACGAAAAATTTAAACCAAATGGCCTTATTTCATTTTATAACGTTGTTGATAAATTTGCCATATTGAAGCAAAAATAAAAAGTTATTACAAAACAGCCGGTTGAAGTATGCAATTTATAATTAACGCGGTCCCGCTTTGGGGCAACCGCCATAACCCAGAAACGTATCTTGTTATGACCTAGATATGAGGCGATGCTTGAAATCATTCAGTGATTGTGCAATGCCGTTGGTTACCTCACATCCCCGCTCATACTACGAGCAGGCCAGGCAACGAGTTATTTATCGGTAAGAACAAACTTCTCTCTCGGTAAGAAGATTCTTCGTAACCACTGCAATTACGATACTTCTGACACCCGTTGTCGTTACACCATTCGCGCGTCTATCCATTCCTTCTTTTATATTAAATAAAAATATTTCGATAAAAGTGATTGCGGCAATCGAATTTGATACGATAAAAAAAAAAAAAACTCACACGCCGTTGTGACGGTGTCGTCGCGCTCGGACCCTCGGTACTCACCTTGAGATCCTTGAAAAATGTCGAATTTCTAGCCCAGTCCACCTGCGAGAACAGATTCTGGTCGAGCACTTTGCACATTAATTCGAACAAGTCCACTTCACACTGATTGTACGACTGGTTTTGTAAGAGTCCAAAGAGCGACGCTTGCCACTCGCGGTCGTCGATTGTTGACAGGAAGTCCCTTATCATCGGACTTTTGAGGGTGGCGGCGGGACTGGGCCCGTAGCCCACGGTCCCGCCACCGTGGGACTGCGCAGACTGCTCGCCGAAGTTGAAGACCTTCGTGCCGGGGGTGGTGGAGTTGGCGGCCCAGAGCTTGCTGTCCAGACCGGGGTTCAGGTTGTGCAGGTGATTGCCACCGGCGCCGGCGCCGGCGCCGGCGCCGCCGATGTTCGGCTGGCTGGACGGCGCGATCAGCTGGTGCTGACCGGCTCCGCCAGCTTGCGTCGTGACCAGACCAGCGGCCACGGTCGCGGGGGACGGGCTCGAGTCCGGCGACGAGGTCAGACTCGAGACCTGAGGTATCTGAATCTCCTGCTTGATGTGCAGCAACGGCGTCACCGCGGACGGGTAGTTGGTCGGATCACCAAGGCTGCCGCGTATCGTCTGTAACGCCAGTTGCCTTTGACGCATCAGCTGCAGCTTCCGCGCCCGATCTCTTTTGTACATGGGCCCGAATTTGTTCCTACCACCCCGCATCCTGTCCGCTCGCACGGCTGGAACAATAAAAAAAATTGCTGATTTACGCGATCCAATTTGGCTTATTTCCACATTTTTAATGCTACTGAAAGAACAGAATTGTAACGCGTTCTTAACGCCAAGTAAAGACGCATTAAGTGTTTCGTGCTGTCCTTAGTAGATTTGTCGCAAACGAGCAAATGATTTCTCCGCTAGTTTATGCGCCGTTCAATAATGTCTGAAGGTCAAGTCGCGCTTGATTTCTCAGAAAATGTAGGAAATACAAATAGAATATGCTCAAGCCTGCAAAAGTCAATTTCTTAGATACTTATTGTTTTCTTCCTTTGCAATACTGTTAGGTATTTACAAACATTTTCGATGCAAACCTCAATTGCTTGTATTTATTTCTTGAATTATACATTGATCACGCTTATTGGAAACTTGAAAGAATTCTTTTAGTTAAGATTTAAATTTTTATACAAGTCGAATAAATATTTAACAAACTAATAAAACCCTAATCTGCATTTCTCGATAAGATTTCGAGAATCCATAAGTAGCGACCGAAGAATTGCAGTTGAAGGTGAATGGCATGCTTCATATCCGCAAAATAATCGATTCTGAATTTTAAATGCGAAAAGTAGCAGCGAAATCGCAATCGAGCTCGAAACGACCGCTGCTGAAAACGCGATTGGCGATCGTGTGTTGGCCAAGGGAATCGAGGGAAATCTCGCGGGCGTGACTGCGCGCGATCGAACGAAGCAACCTTGGGGAAGCGGTCTCCTGAGTCGGACGTCGACGAAAGCGGAAGTCACGACTAATCACCGGATAAGTAGGACAAAGGCGTGAGAGTGCCGCGCACTACTACTACTTCTGTTGTACGCATGTATATTCATGTTATAAATCATCAAATTCGGTACTTGTATTTCTATATTATTGCGCCAATGCATCCGATATTATCGATGTCTCCATATTAATCGCTAATAATCGAATCATCTGCCGTGCGAGACTGATGGAAATATATTAAAGCCGGAAAAAATGCTTGGAAAGAATATATGCAAGATTTAATGCGATTTCTTTTCTCACTAAACTTAGCCAAATTTTGAATTGATTTTTCTTTAATGAAAATATCGGAGCATCGATGGTTTTTAAATAACAAACGAATACGGATAAAAAGTTTTATTAAATAAATATAATTAAACTCGTAATTAAAATTTAAATGAATTTTATCTTGATAAAATGTATAGAAATTAATTAAAATATAAAATTTAATATAAATAAATTTTATATTAATTAAAGATCAAAGAATATCGAGTTTTTTTACGTTTTTTTTTCTAGCGCAGTATCTTCATCGAAACGCATATTAAATGCACACAAGAATAAATCTAAAATATGTAAATTTTAAAATCTTGACTTAAACTATATTTGAAAAATACATCTAAACAGTTAAAAATTAAAACTACAGATTCAAATCGTAAATATTTTGTTTGTCGAAGTTCTCTAACGCATGACTCTTCGGAGACGGTTGGCGAAACTGCACAAATGTATACACGGTTTAACGCTTAGCCAGCTAGCCCGTAATCGCCAGCGGCACAGACGGTGGAAGAATAGGCGTCGTAATGGTCACTCGCGTAATCCGTAATCACCGATTAGCGTGCAGGGAGCTCTCCCGCGGACTCGTAAGCGCATTTTACGCTTTTTAACTGCGCCAAACAATCAGTCGCGCGAGCGGTACTTCCCGCAATAAGTTCAACGCAAAAGAAAACGTAGCCCGAAGGGTTTCCAGTTATGAAGAAATTAATTTTCGAACTTTCGCAAGAACTCGCTTGCAAATCGTCGTCTGAGCGTCAATATTGACGAGATAAAATGGAGCAGAAAAAAAAAGTAGAACGTTATTTCAACGGATGAGTATCTAATGATGAAGAATTTTCCTTCATATAAATACATTTCATGCATAAATATTAAATTATAATTTAATTAAAATATAAATATTAAATTAAAAAATACAAAACATGCAAAAAATTTACAAACACTACTGCACAAATGTGATTATAAGTATTAATTCTACAAAAAAAAACTCATTATCTTTAGAAAAGGCTAAAGCGTTTTTAATACTACAATCCCTGATTTTATTACGAAATATTCTACGCCTGTTTCGCTGGCAAATTAATACGCCTTTGCGTTCAATAATATAAAACTTCCTGTTTTTTCGTGGAAAATCATTGAGTACATTTCATTCTCTGACTTCTCCGGAATTATCTACGTTTCAATGCAGGGAGCCCTATAAATCAATATTCAACAACTTGAAATCTTTCTGAGTAAAAATTTAATTGGACGCTACCGTAATGTTTTTACTCGCTTTTCAATCGTCTTTATACTTGAACCATTTAATAAAATAAAAATTACAACTTTAAATGAGAAATTAAGGTAAATTTTAAATTGAAGAAAAAAAAGTGATGAATGTACGCGATATGTCTGCTTATTAAGACGATCTCGATATTAAAAAAAAAACTCTTTTCATCAGAGGTCGAAATCCTCATTCATTTCCACCGACAATACAACAAGTCACCGAACCATTTTGCTAAAAAAAAAAATCAAAAAAAATAAAAAAACTACCCGACATTTACAAATGCGTTCTTTCCCATCTAAGCGCCGCGGAATGAAGCAGCGCGACGTTGTCGCGACGCCACCCTCGTGGACCACCTCTGTGAAGTTGGCACCCCATTTTTTAAAAAAAATCTAATTTTTTTTTTAGAGTTCTGAATGCACCCCAAAGTGTTCTAGAGTTCTCCATAAATTTATAAATAGTTCCGGCGAATTAGAAC